TTTCCAAAACAAACTCATCCGCTCTTGCTGCGGTTAGCCGTCCCTCATCCCGATCTTGTTCCGTTTTTATACCAGTTATTCTTCGTCGTCTTTTAGTTCGCCGCCGTCGTCGTTGGTTTCATCGTTGCCTTCGCCGCCGTTTGACGTCGTCATTGTGGTCCACATATACTTAACTTCTGTCACTTTCCTATTCGGACGTTAATATGTTACATGTAGAGTGAGGCTCTGCCATTAGTCCCTAACACTTATAGAGGCTATTGTTTTCTCTAGAGTATTGCTAGTCGTATCGTTGTTTAGTGTTGCAATCCCTATTTACTGTTACAGATGTCTTCATATGCCGGCTAATCCTTTATTATATAGGGATCATTCCTATAGCTGCTGGCGCTCTTATTTACGTAGAATTTGGAGCACGCTAGGAAAGTATCTCCAGAATTTTGCCAAATTTCTATTTATTGCCAATTAGGTTTACTTAAAATGATAGAGCAAACCAACATTTACTTCTTTTGGAAGGACGTCCTTTATAACTGTTTGCCAAAGCCGGACACAACAATATCACCGATGTAGCATCCATAAAAATAGCAGGTCGTTTCCATCGTTATACGCATTCGAATAGGCTAAGCTTGTCTAAAAGCTCTAGTCTAAAAGTCTAAGCTTGTACTTCAAAGAGCCATTAACACTACCAAATTTTTTCCTTCGTTTGGAGAAAGCAACAAGGTGGCCATTGTCCTGTCTTATGGCTTCCGCAAACCAAACACTTTTTCATATGGCTTTAGATCATATATGGTATGCTGACTGACTGCCCCAATCAAATGTTTTAGCATGCCATGCAACGGCGAATCAATGGCCTCTTTCTGTTTTTACTTAACCTAAAATTTCGCTCGACTTTCTTTCGAAAACACTTTGTCATATGTCTAAATAGATTTCAGATAGTCTACCATTATCCGCTATAGCAAAAATAATTCACATGGCCAATGCCCCCTGGTTCATTCTGGTGAGGCAAAATGAAAAAAGTTTACCGATGGGAAGCGATTGATTAGATGCCTCAGAGCACTAAATACATACACTTCCAACAGACGACATTCACTCGTACTTATTTTGAAACTTAAACGCTATTTAATAAATGGTTTAATGTAACGTTTAAAATAATTCACTTGAATTTGAACTGTTAATTACTGATAATTAATAGGTCGTGTAATAACTTCTGTAATGATAGTATGATAAAACTAATTAAACTAAATTGAGACATTCTGCTGACCTGAGGTATTTCGGAGCTTCCAGAGATTTCTCTAGAAACAACTACGACCGAAACAACGTAGCCGTACTATTTCTACGATACGTCTATGCTCCCACTGGCATCGTTCGTATACCCTTATTGCGATTTCTCACTGCGCAGGTACATTCTATTACCTAGATCTGTCTGACAAATCCCATCTGTCTCACGTAAATTAACCTAATAGATCATAAGCATAAGCACGTATTCACAGAAGTGATTTGGTAAAGAAGACCAGTTCCTTTCATTTCAAAAACAACCTGACTGTATTCGCTCGCTTGATGAACCAAAGCGCTTAGCTGAACCGTAAGCCTTCTTCATGTACCCCATACTCAGTCCACTGATTCAACAAAGCACAGTAACGATGGCTAACGAACACAACAGAAACAAACATTTATTTAGAAAAGAATCATTTTGAGTAACGGGCAACTTTCAGCAATAAGCAAAAGTTAATTTGTGGCTTTGCTGCCAACCTTCCCCGGCTTTGATGTTTCAGGTCCGTAAGCTCGTACGTCTTTGAATTCGTAGCGTTTTGTTCATCGTAGGGTCCAATCTGGTATCAATCAAGGGAGCGCGGAATGGCAGAAGTGAAACCGGTGGAAGTAGTACTACTACCCTCCGGCACAATCCTCTCACGCCTCGAACGAAGTCGTCTGCCTTCGCCGCCGTCTTTGAGGTCATCGCGAGTTCCCTCAGGCAGCAAGTTTCAATATCCGCTCCGAACACTCTATACCCCGTTCAACTTTGCTTTTTCGCATACTCTATTACAATAGACTCTCGTAGCAGCGGTGGCAGCAGACGACGCTGGCGTGCTCATGCTGGCAGCCTCATTCCCCGAGGGAGTGGGTAACAGAAAATGGGACGGACGCGTACCCGGGTCACCGATAGCGTAACAATCAGGTGAGGAAATGACAATAGTCGAGTCAAATGAGAAAAGGAAAACGAAGCAGCAGGAGAAGGAGAAGTAAGAGAAGGGGTCGCGGCAAGAAAAGACCCGCCGCGGATGAAAATGACGGTGGAAACGGCGATAAGCTGGGAATGGAGAAAGAGAGGGGGCAAAATAGCAGATTACCACATAAAAATGAGTGCAAGGCTGAAAGACACATATAATTGAGAGCAGGGGTAAATTAACGTCTCTGTTTCTTTCTTTATCCTGCGTACCACCCAGAAATCCAATAAAAATGAATATGTAGAAGAAGGCGAAGCCAAAAACGAAAACAAATTAATAAGCCCGAGAAGCTGATGATGATTAAAGAAGCGATATTAGCTTAACCGACGTAACACAGCCAGTTCTGACGTATTGATCAGGTATAGATTTGGCTTCAAAATAAATGATCTATAAGAAGCTATGCGGTTATCTATACATACGATATTATATTAGATAGATAGGATATTAGAACGTAAATACCATATTTTGAATAGAGTTCGACAAAAATATTTTAGACATTCAATCTATGTCGCATCTATACCACACATGATTAGCAGTAAACCATTTGCGTAAATGGCAGGCACCCCCGTACTGGATTTACTAGAATGTTACACCTTTATTCTATAATTATCACTTGTCGCTCTTTTTGTCGTGGCCAAACCAACTGCTAATGGAAGGCATTTACTCATAGATTTCGCTAAGATCAGAGCTAGTTTCTTTCAAAACAAACACTCCCGTCAAAAAACACACGTACCGTCTTGTCGGTGAGACAATTAATTAAATAAAAACTAGAATTTTATTAGTATGCGCTTGCCTCTACCTCCAACCTACTCTAGTGTAATTTTACAAAGTAAAATGTATTTACTTTTTATTATTATTATTATTATTATTAAAGTTATTATTAATTTTTAAAAAAAAAGTTACTTCAAGGAAAAGGGGACAAAAGTTAGGCATTGAATCCAAAAACACCTACCATTTTAGATGTGGATTCAGTTTTTAATTATGAACAAACAGATGGCTAGCGCCCACATGCAAACTCAGCGTGGGTTTAAATATCTCTTTTCTAATTCCGCGGAGAATTTGTGTTAGTGTGAATGCACTGCAGAATATTGTCCCTACTGAAGTTCTTATCTCGGGCGTATTTACTGGGTGTATCATGCTTATAGCATAGTGGCTAGTCTGGTAAAAAGGGTCGATCAGAAGCAGTGATTCTGGCTGGCATGTTTCTGGATTCTGCAATGACCACAACTAACTTTTTATTTTTACGGCACCAGCAGGGAAAGTGAAGGGGTTTCGGATCGGCGATACACTTGAGAGGGCTAACTCTCTCTGACTGTAGGTTAACCCCGAACTCTCTCGCAATCATTCTCCGTACGATGGGAAATCTCCAAGGAACCCTGCGGCTCGGAGGTCATCCGTCATTGACGTTTAGCTACATCTCAGCCTAGTTTTTATATAGAAGAATAGGCTATGCTTGGTGGTGGACAAAAGAAATGAAGGAAAACACCGTCGTAGTATGGCAAAAAAATACGATCAAGGCAATGACACTGAATAAGGTCCTACGTCCAACTAAACAGCTAACAAACATTCTCATAACAATAAGTGTTTTACTTCCTACCTACTGCGGTAAAGCTCATAGAATAGTCATATTTATAATCGTTCCTGCAGAATGATGCTAAGTTTTTCTAAAGAACTTCAACACTCCTTTTTAATTCCATAGACATTAGTGGGGTAGATTGACTAGGTGATTGTTTTTGTCGTGTGTAGTATTATAATAATTATCCTAGTGCTGCGGTGCCTTTTGTTTAACGATAATAAGGGAGCGGGTGTTACGAAAGCAAATATAGCTCTTGGTAAATCAGATGCGTCGTCGGCGTTTATAGCAACCGTTTTAGAACAAACGTATCGTTCTGACTTACCTGATTCTTCGGAGTTCCTGCAAGTGTATATCGGGTACTAGTTGAAACAACATTCTAAGAGAGGGGAGGTACGTCCGCTTTGCGCTTTGAAACTTCAATGAAAGCCATTTCTCCGAGCAGTTGTTAACTTCCATATTTTGTCTTTATAGATCGCTATCTAACTCACTCGTCAGATATCGAACTGGCTAAGGTCGCTTTAATAACGCTACCTTACGCATTTCCTAACTTTACCGATAAAAGGTCTACAAACAGAACAGTCGGTGTCTTTAGTATTGCTTCATGTCGCACATTGATTCGTTGATTCTTTTCAATGATTAACCTTCAAGAACTTGCCATATCTTTTTTCTTCCTGGTCGCATTGACTCTCAGAACCACGTCAACAGTGGTTAATCAAATTATTTGTGGCAGGTGAAACATCACGTTTCCCAACGTCGGACAGAGGTGTAAGACACCTGTGTTACTCACGGGCATTCTAAATAGACGTCACATATTATAGTAGGCAATAAGTGAAGGGGCAAAACATTTGGATCAGTGTTATTCTGTTATTCGCTGGGGAATATAACTTACACACAGAGTCATTCGTTCACCATTAACGTATCTATGCTATCCATAAAGCATGCTTGTATCTGTAGATGACGATTAGAAATATCAGATATACGCTGAACTGAAACTGAACATTAGGGAGAGAATAGTCATCCTAAAATTACAAGTCATAAGTTTATTCGGATAATATAATAGGAAAATGGCTATTTTACCCCAATGCCCAGTACTAATTTTGAGTTCATAGTTATCGCCCTTGAGATATCTATACGTTTCTAGTTTCTAAACCCCTATTTTCAAGCTGATATTTATTTCGAATTAGAATATAAGTAGGCCGGGTTACCTTTAGCGACTTTCCATCGAATAATTGGTTGGGGTTCACCATCCGCCCGACAATCAAATCTTACAGCAGATCCTACAATCACCGTTTTGTCCTCTGGTTTAATGCTCCACGATGGGGGTGCTGAAAAGAAATATACCGTCAGCTAATAACGTTTGTTACAGGAAGATACGCGATTTGTCCGTTTGCGGGTAATCTGTGTTGATACGCTTGTGTTGTATGCATTCCAGCGTTTACTACGACTATAGTGGCAACGAAATCTCTACTATAGCATAATTACTTATTGGCCGGATTAGAATAACGAACGGGCGATAATAAGAAGGGCAACCGGTAATGTCCGTGAGTCAGATTGCAGAGGAAGTCGAAAATTTCTCCCATAGGCAAAGCAGACCTATCTTGAAAGGAAACATTGGAGCTAACACTAACAAACTTGAATAGGTCATCATGATATTCTGCAAGGAAATAAGTATATTATTTGCAAAGTTCTCAGAATGTCTTTTTTTTTTTCTTAGAATCAATGTTATAAGTCTAACATATAACGAAACTTCTTCTACATGTATGAACTTCGCTTCTAACAAGATGGCGAGCGAGACGGAGCCCACTCATTATTGCAAGCGTACTTTCACACGTCTATGACCATAACACCCAAATCACACGATCGCAGGAGCATAACTACGAAAAATACGAACCTTTTGGGAACATCAAATCCCCCACCTGTTATTAACTATACACAGTACGTGCATAATCCTATGTAACAGTACGTCTGCTACAACAATAACAACGACAACGAGTTAAGCTGTTTGGATGACACAAACTCCGCCCCCTATGAACCATCTTATTACCATATTTATTTTCGACGTATAATTTACCCTAGTTCTCAAAAAGGATCGCAAATGTACATATACGTATATGTATACATGTACACATAAACACACATACACTCTTCATTTCAACAGGTGCGATTAAATATGGAATCATTACACAGAATTACTTTAGTGAGCTTCACGCATTAATTGAACAATCCAGAGATTTTCTACGATGCTCTCTTTTTGGTTGGGTTTTATCAATATAATTCAGTTTTTCATAGCACTGAAATGACGCGAAGCTTTATTAGAAGACGTATTTTTCTCCATCGAAAATAGTCGCAGTTCGCCCGTTTTACCAGGCCTGACGAGTCTTATTGGTTTATAAAGCAAACCTACCCTAATAATCTTCGAAAAATTTCATGATATTCCAGTAAATAGGACTTAAGATCCAGGACAGTAACGCCTTAAGTTTGTACCATTACTGTAACTTCAGATTCCAATGCAAGTCATGTCACGTACGCACCTAAAGTTTCTTAAAAATCAGCAGGGAAGTCATTAAAGCTAGCAGTAGGACAATTTCCATCAGGTTAAGTGAAGATAGATATGTTTCATTTGCGCTATCCAAAGTAACTTTGCGCTAGTTCGTATATTTGTGAAGTTTGAAAAACTTAATTTTGAGGAATCCACACATCGATGTTCGGTATGATCGACAAAAAAGTGAACGGAATAGAAAATATGCAGAAGCAATTCAGGACCCAAGCGAGCTCAGTGAAGACAACTGTGGCCGCAATGATAAATAGAACGATCAAATAAAGCATTTCTTTTAAATTGTATTCTTCGAGCAATCAGGGTAAAGGGAAATTCTTATAATATCCTAATTTAAACGCCATCTTTATAGATTTCGCTTTGTAGCGTTATCGAAATACTTTCAAACGTCCTACGAGTTGTCGTAAGCACACTTATCAATGCTATCCCGCAGGTTCGAAGAACAAAAAACACGCTGAGTTTATTTATAACAGCACAGACACGCACAAACAATCACTTTAATACGTTTGTGAAATAGCTGCATCCAGTCAAGGTTTATGAAGCGTTTCGTGCCGGAGATCCTATAGAGTTCAATTGGATTATTGCGAAAAAACAATTATATACAAGTAGTAATATAATAATGAAGAAACAAAAACACAAACTTTTAGTTGCTGTTGTTTAATTATAGTCGATGGCGTGCTATGTAAATGATTGGGGGTTACCACTGGAGAGAAGTTGACACTAAGCGTTCAATGTACCCACGACTATATCGTTGATGACAAGAATAGCATATTCGTTTATTAAATAAATAGAACAATTCTAGTAAGAGTTTGAGATTTATTTCCTAAAAAGTAGAGTTAAAATCTTGGGCTGCTACTCGACTCTTGTCTATGATATGATCGAAACTTCCCGAGCCGTTGTAATTGAGTGACCAGGCTAACAAGAGGATAAATGGGTTAACAGCTGTGGAGGCCTTCGTTGGCCATCAGCGTAATAGCCCAAAAAAAAGTTTCTAGCTAAATAGAGCCAATTATTATTACAGCAGAAATGCGCCATGTAGAAACGACTATTAACGTTGTTCAATAAGCAGACGATTGGCGGTCCTAAGACTTGCATAGACTACTTTTTTTGTGATATTATAGTCGAAAGGCTTCCATTGACGTTTGGTGTTAAAAATATTAGAAACAACCTAACAAACAAACCTAACAAACTAAATTATATACTAGTGGGTTGTTGTTATTTATTATGTTTTTCGACACTTTCTGTTAGTAAGCATTGCAAAGACAAGGTAGCTCCCAAATTTGAATTTGGTTTGTATGCATTGTAACAACTATACTTCTGTTGATGATAGGCTATTTCTAAACTTATCTGGCACAGTAGGCCCGCGAACAGTATAGAATAGAATAGAATAGGAACCCTTATTTGGGTAAATAACGAGACACAGAGATTCATTGGTATATTTTGTACACTGGCAGAGTATACAGGGTGCAATAATTACTGCTTATAGTATTTCAGCTGTTTCAAACAGTGCAGGAAAATATCTGCCTTGGTAGACCTTTTTTTTTCTAAATTTAATCTATTTTTTCAATAAGCCAATAGTTTATTGCCCAGGTAGGTCAGACACGCTCCGGCTGGCCTGGTGACCCAAAGCGTAAACGTGCTTTTTCACTTTGGGCTGCTAAAACAGGACAAGGGCCAATGCCTGGTTGACAACTATTTTCCGTAGTTTGACAATGATTTGGCGTGATCGCAACGTTTCTTGGCTGACTCGAATAGCTTCACAAATCTATTGAATGCCGTCCGCGACGCTTTGCATAGGCTGATGCTACTGTAGGTTAGACTCTTTAATTATGAAGTTTTTGCACAGGGTTTTTTGTTTTCTTATCGTCTCTGGGGTGGCCATTCATCTATCAATTTGCCTTCATTTTTAAATATTATAGTAATAGTTAGGGAAAATCAGGAGAAGCGTTGTCATAAGAATGGCCTAACGACCCTAAACAAGTGGGTGTATATAGATGAGTTTTATTAATTACTCATCATTGTACCCTTTAAAACTGGAAACACGGCTTCGGCACAACATCCGTCTCTGTCTTGACGATAACTGCATTGTAACCGAAAAATCATCAACTAATTAAATCTGCGCCAAGCGATTAGGTGAGAAGCTACTAGTGAGAGCAACTGATGACATTGAAGAAACTTACCGAGCACTATGAGCGGTGCCGTATAGTTGGTGACGGCAGCACGGTTTGTAGCAATACAAGTGAAGTTTCCAGAGTGCGTTCTCTCAACGTGGTCGATCATCAGGGTCGAGACGAAATCAGAAAGAGGAAGCGTCTGGATCCCCTTGTGATTTAAGAGCGGCCTGCCATTCTTCTGCCACGATATTATAATCGGTGAATCCCCTTCAACAATGGCGCACGTTACTGTAGCTCGATGACCAGCTTGCATTCGTGACGGAAATGCGAATGGGGCCAATTTTGGTGGAACTGAAATGAAGGAAAGAGAAACAATTGAATTGAATCTAAGCTAGCTTAAGCTTGGCATTCCTTTTTAAATAACTATACGAGAAAATGTCTGTCGTCGTGCGGGAAGTTCCTTACTGCGCGTCGTTGTTTATGAACTAAATTGGCATTTTTAATATTTAGTTAAAAGGTGCAATACAATTAAAAACATTGCGTCCGTTGTCGAAAACGTGCTAAACGTTCATGCACTAATCGGGATGAGCCTACGAAAAACATTGAAGCATTCGGAGGCGAGGCCTAATAGCAGCCTTCTCTATAGATCAGCTAAAGTAAGCGGAATCTTTACAAAGCGTTTTGATAGACTACGAGCCACCTGAATGCGCGCCAAATTTTTATTCGTGAAAGCAGTGTTTTGTCTTTTTTGTTGATCATAATTTGTCTTTCAACGATTTCGATTCTGCCAATTATCAGGTCGCCAGTAGGTCGTGTCGAAAATTGACGAAGGACTTGGAATTTTGACCCATCTCCGAATGACCCATTTGACAAAATATCAGTTCTAAAACCTGTGCACAGTGGCTTATCATTTGAATTTGAAAACGCTTAATAAGTGCTACGCTGACAGTGCTCAAATAGCAATTAGCTGAATTGTAACCTCTAATGAAACTGAAGAAATACAACTGGGTAGGATTTTTAGGGTTTGGAGTTGACTCATCGTGATACATATAATGTGGCCTTACTCTGCGTCTATACATTGTACGGCCGCCATACTGGAGCCCGTCAACGTTTTTATGCCCATACATCAAGTAAAAACTGAAAACTACACTAAGAACGAACGCGAGAGGGGCAGTGCGGCTGTTCCGAGGATTCGAGCTTTCTTGGAGTTCCTACTTCTGGGCTTAAGTGGGGTCGACCCCCCTACCCTTAAGAATGCTTCAGAAAAGCATATCTGAGGTGTTGAACTAGCACATTTTTCTTTCAGTAAGCCATACGAGCCTTTACGCACAACTTTAAATTTTTTTAAAAAGTCTGATGAATAATAATTTTTTTTTTGTTGAAAGCTGATACAAAAAAATACGGCTAAATCGAACACTCTCACTCCAAAGGAACTGATGTAACCTTTTATATATCATTCAACATACTATTCGTGATTACTAATAGAAACATACTGTTGATATAACAGCAGAATCGATATCATTCCCTACATGTATAAGCCGAAGTACCTATGCTATAGAAGATCTCAGCGTTCCTGTTTCCAAGTAAAATGTATCACATTATAACAGACGGTTTAGTTCGCCTGAACTTCTACTAAACACTGGAAGTTTTACTACTCAGATAACTTATATGTTCTGCTATTAGATCAATTATATGGCTGTATTGCAATTAACTGATTATATACCAGTTGCTGTTGTAATGCACGCCCTGATTACAGGGCAATCCATCAATCGAACGACTAAACGCCAAGGGGCATAGCTTAAACGGAAACAAATCCTGTCCAGCATCCATTACTAATGATAATAATCATAATATTTATACCAATAATACTATACCTTTATACGAATATGGGTTTCTGTCTATTTATGTGTGTACCGACTATTTTGTGTGCGGTAGTGGCCAACAAAGAATACTCTAATGAAATCCACATGTCTAAGATCAATCTGTATTATATTGACAAACTTCAACACGTCCCCATAGACTCTTCGTATGCAGACGTTGAGCTTCTCCCATTTCTTCATGTCTGATGCCTCTCCGGGAAATTATTAAGAATTTTCGAAAAAAATCAAGTTGCTCACACGGTTTGATATTTACGGGGCACTTTGAAAGGTCAGCTTTACTTTGAGATAACGGAGTAGTCGCAGCGGTGTACAGGTTCAGCGCTAACACAATGATGGGTTGGATTCAATGGTAGCACTGGATAATAATTGACAAAGGGGATAGGTTTCCTGTTCCGCTCCGGGACGACTGGAACAGGATAGTCGACTACCTGAACCAGGATAGTACTAATGATTGAAGAGTGGAAACAAAGCATCAAATGGCTAAAGTGGATATAAATCTACTTTAGCCACTTGATGTATGGAATAGCGTAGCGGAATGACGGAATGAGGCCAATAATGCACTATCTTCACTGCCTAACAGGGCACTCGGGGAGCCACGACTGAAGACAACAGCGAAATTACAGCCACATAATCACTACCATCTGTTAGCGAAGCTTCTACAAACAATGAGGTTTTAAATTCGCTTTAAGTTAGACTTTATAATTTCCAAAATACTATTGGCTGTCATAAGATGAGTGAACGTAGAACGTAATTAGTAAATGGATCGACCTGGCTAGGCAGACGTCCTACGTTCAAGGTGGTGTTGCTCGTGAAAAACATATTGTGTACTGTTTTATACCACTGTAGACTCATATGTTGCGTCTGTTAAAACTTACCTACGACATGTACGTAGACGTCCCTTGTAAAGACTTCTCCTTGGGCTCCCTGAACGACGCATCTATAGACACCTTGATCCTCCCGCCTCACGTCCTGTATGAGGAGTTGACCGGGTTTGGTCATCCGATGCCTACTCCCCACGCGAATAGTGCGACCCTCTGAAATTATCAGAACGATTACGATGAGCCTGGGACCCCCACTGGAGGTCGTAGAAATCTAGATAAAATATAAATGAGAGTAAAATAGGCATTCTTATTTGAGTAGAATTAATCGACTCAAGCACGCTCTTATTTTACCGTATTACGAACTCTCAAAATATTATGTTCCTTCTTCATCACACTATTACCTGCTGCGGCATATTATTAACATTGCAAGGCGAAGAGTATTCAAATCCAAAAAGGAGTGTTCTAACACTCTTCCGCCTACATCTCTGAAATGCATTGTGTTACACGCCGCGTTTAGATTCGGTGCCGCCGTCGTCGTCGCCATACAAAAGAACGCAGAAGACGCGTTTATGCAGCCATAGTAACGATGGGTCGCCATTTGCTTGATGCTATGTTTCGCTCTATTATTTGCAGTACCTTCTGCTGTTCTTCGTTCGGTTGCCTACGTGCACGTTAATTTCTCGTTCTTTTCGTGGTGAACGTCCGCTTTTCCTCCCTTATGTCGCCCCCCCGGCTCCTCTCGCTCTGTTTCCCGAACGCGTGTGCTGCGTAAGCTAATGCCAGCGACGGCTGTCTAAATATTCATACGTTACACCGGTATGCCAGGCAGTGCAATAGAAATGGCTTTGAAGTACCGCTAGGCTTTATCCCACTTACCCAGACCTAACCGCACATATCCCGAAGATGAATGCCCATAGCCCTCAAAGGCTGGGCAAACGGAAACCCCAGTTCATACCGTTCATGCACTGTCGTCACTGGCTCGCCCGCTTACCACAACAAAACGCCGGAATGTGCTGTCGTACTGGCCCGAAAGTAATTCGGTTTTACCAAATTATGATCATACTCGATACCAGTATACAGTAATAGTAATATACAGTGCTTCTATCAACATTCGCGGAAGTCAGTCGAGCAGAACCTATTATTAGGTTTTGCAAAGGCTTTGCAAATTCTACTAGGCTATTGCTTGTCTTTACAATGTTCATTCCACAAGCTTACACGTGATTCCATAGTATCCGTTTGATGGAAAATCCAACAACTTATTAGTAGTATTGTATGAATAATTAACAAGCGGATACTTCGTGATTTTGAATATGCAGGGCCGCAACGATAGGTTAACTTACGGATGCGTCAATTTTGAGAGCGTGAAACACATCCAAGACGACGCGTAAATACGTCGTCTATTAAACAACAATTATTATTATTTATAATTACAAATAAACTATTGCCGAACGATGCAGCCGCCAGTTATAGCGTTTCACGTCTCAGATGTTTCCACGAAAGAAAGGAGGAGAAAGGGCACATTTAAGTAAAGACTTATCTATCTTCGGTTGAATCTATCAGAAAATGAATATGATGTCGCTCTGTGTTGCCACAAACAGATGATTCTGTTCGCTCTAGGGTGGCCTTCACGGGCCAGGTTGGTCCCGATCTATTGAATGAACCTGCGTGGTAATGCTAGCTCTATGTATATTGTCGCTTAGACCGTGCTTGTGTAAGCATCACAGGTTCAAAGACCGTATTTACTCGAGGCCTGCTGTAAAAATGTATTTAGCCAGCTTTTGTACATTATTATGATATGTGTATTGTGCCTAAGACCGAACGATCCCTATCTTCAATCGTCAGAAGCGGATAACAATAAAATGATGACATCGTTTCGGTAGGAACGCAGGTTGTTCCTGGACGAGTAAGGGCTGAACAAGTCAGTTTAAAACACCGAGCTGTGGAAAATGGCCATATAGGCGATGTTTTCATGAGAAGATCCGCACGCTATTCGTTGCAGAGCTGGCTCATGTTGCAAAACAGTGCATTTTTTTTTTTTGTTAAGCATCATTTAGCCGTACCTGTATGGAGCTTGGCATTTCTCCAACAATGGTCCTTTTATTCAATATCTAGTAACATGGGCCTGAACGACTCCTTTCCTTGTGTTGCTAAGGTAGACAGCCTTGACCTGCAACAGTACAACAGCACTTCAAGTGTGGCTATCCATAGCTGCAGTTTTACCTACTTTTTCGTACGTGGTAGAAGGACTGCATTGGACGATTTACTGAGAACGAGCGAGCAACTGAATGAGTATGCGGGAAAATTACAAGCACACTCGAAAAGTAGTAGAGAGAGTTATACTGCAGCAACGGTAGCACTAGGCTGCGCAGGAGTCAATGAAAATAACCGAGGAGGACGGGGGGCAGTTAAGAGAAGCCAGCCAGCAAACGCTTTGCCTTGACTGGCGCCGCAGTTACTACTCGAGCTGCTGTGATGCCTGGGATCTGAGTCGGCTTAGCGCTCCGTGGTTTCGTGCGGCGGTTCTGCAGTTGAGTATCCTAGAAGAAGGGAGGGTAGACAGGCGAGTATGGCAGCAGCGGTAGCTGAGCAGGAGGAGTGAAAGGACGAGGAAGAGGTGGTTCGTGGGGTGGCGGACGGACGACAGCGGAAAGTGCAGAACTAGCAACAACAACAGCATTACCATTACTATTATTACTACTAGCGACAGCTGTAGCAGTAATAGCGGAGACTGCTATGTGCGAGTAGAAGTCTGCTGTGATCTAAGTCTTTTTTTTTTTTACTTGCACCAAATTGTCTGTTTTTACGCCCCTCAAACACAGCTCCCGCCCATCTATGCTAGCCCACTGACTCTATATCACTTCCCTTTTCTTTTTTTCTCTTAGCGCTCATCATATCTTCTTCTTAGCTGCTCGTTGGTCGTTTTCGAAACTCGTTCTCGACCACTTCATGAAATCATGGCCAGTTGTTAATCAGGACTGTCATTAAAACCGCTATCAGTGCTGTTGAAATCCAATAACGAACGAGAAAAATTTGAATTCTATTAATTCTGGGACAAACCTGAAGTTTTAAACATCTTGCGTTACACGGCAAACCTAATATACGCTACGTTCTGTCTCCACCGTGTTTCTGCCGGATTTGTTATATCCAAATAAAATTTTTAAAAAATTATACGAATCTGTGTCAACACACTGCCGTCCTAAATAACGTCATGTCGAGATTGAAAAGTCAAGCCGTAATAAGACTTTATCCAATTATCGAGTAAGGTCGCATTATTCTTTAAATCGTGTTAGAGCCTTTCTTTTGTGCTGATTATAAGACTTCCTAGCGTTAACATTCTGTTTGTAGAACGATGTCCGACATATCATTCGTTTGTGACGAATTATATTTTGGCCATCATAAATAACATTTTACCTATCATAAAATTCAGCCTTCTTTGGTGGATTCTATTGGATTTATAATCCTTAACTGCATTTACTCAAGCGAATCATAGTTTTCGATAATGAGTTTAATACTAAAACAAATCAACTGAGCTATCATCGTCCGACGATTTGTCAAGATCCCAATTTTATTTTGTTCATAAGATCGGGTTACGTATCAAATTAATATTAGTCTCATGTCAAAAGCAAACATATATGTCTCTCAGGTAAAATGTGACATCATTGCAATGATATACGAAAGCGCTCGTAGAGTAAATACTGATATTGTATTATGATAGAACGCAGTGACTTTTTGAATGCTAAGCGGCTTTGCTAGAGAGTTATTATCACAAAGAAAAGGATTAATTTCGAAATTATGCCTAGACTGAAGCTATGTCTACACATACCGTTGTAAAAAGTTTCAGGCATACTATTTTACTCTTGTTCATCGTTTGGCCTTTTGAAATTTGTCTAAATACAAACTCCGATAGTGCTTTTATTTGAGCCCTACCATTGGCCTAATTTTCGCTCGCATCCTTGTCGATGATAGGAATACTATCGATGTTCGTAAGATCCAGCTTAATTAACTATAACATTAACTATAATATTGTCTAAAATGACTAAATGTCCTAACTAAATTAGAATAAGTAAAATTATAGGCCGATGCTTCGGATTAATTTAAGGCTAGCCCTACTTTTATTTATTGTGTAAGGGTAAGCCGAGTATTATTAGCAAGGCTATGAAACGGAGAGTATTCAATGCGTTTATAGAGGTGCGTTGAATCTGTATCTACGTTGCAAACTGGACACCCTTACGACACCAAGAATTTCTGTCCATTTTGTAGGCCATCTTCTCAGTATCAGGTAAATGCATATTATGGAATAATTAGAAAATCTGGACCATAGAGGAAAGGATAGAGAGGGGAATGAGAAAGAAAAACCTATTACGGGGACATATGAGTCATGGAAGTGAGCTTCTTTCTCGTAGTGAAAACCTATGGAAAAAAAAGTCAGCAGCAATGGCATCAATTTGCAGGGCGGATAGCTAAGCGACCTAAGTTCGGAGATGAAAAAAACATATGAAACGTGTAAGCTGTGAAAATCCGACCACGTAGAGAGATGCATTAATCATGGAAATGCTCCATAAACAGCACCTTCTTACATCTTACGCGATGATCTTATGGATGACCTATGGCTTTTTCTCGGACCAGTCACATCCATGTGAAGTATTGTGATACTTCGCTTCCCACAGAAGAAGCTGATTGATGCATCCGCTGTAGCTACTGCTGCCGCTGATGTTTATATCATATCGGATCACCAAAGAAACGTTTGCCCATAGGCAACCTTTTGAATAAACACGGTTAAGGAAGATGCCTAGTTGGAACCTACAGGAAAGGCTAACCTGTTGAAAAAATATTGGCAACTTTGCTCGCTAGATGGCTTCGAAGTCATATATCTCGTATAATACGATTTGTGCTAGGTTATTAGGCGTTATACCACTCGAAAGCTAAGATTTGGGAATAGTTACTGTGTTAAAATTGTGAGAATTTAGATGCCTAAGATAGACCGTCTTGAAAATAAGCGAAATTTCTGCAAAAAAAAATTGCTATAGTTAGTACTTTTATTATGATAAAAGCAGAATCTGATGAAATTATCGCGACAATAGATTAAGCACTGATACGTGAATACCCCTGATGTCATCAAAGAACTAAACATGTACCACCGAACAATCCTAAATAATCCTAAGGAAGCTGACCACAAAAAATCTCGGTGTTTAGGTGCCACATTAATTAACATC